GCGGTATTCCCGGTATCTACATGCAGTGATGACAACCCGCATTTTTGAACCGGGATAAGTAACACTACTGCAAAACGCGGGGATGAGGTTTTGATGCACGCATCCAGCACACTGTCCGCCCACAATTACAAGTGTACAAGCGCAAAGGAGCCTGTTCTTGGGACGCATTGATCCTCATGTCTGGTAAACGGGAGTTGAGGTTGAGCTCCAGATGCATGTCAGCGTGCGGCGCCGCACCGATGTTCCTCGTTGAAGACTGGCGCGCACATGGACGAGACCAATGCATGTGTCAGCCTTGCACAGGATAGCTATGGCCAGCTGCCGCAATACGTACCGCCAGATCTGTTACCTGCTTTATACGCCAGTGTGGATCAGGCGAGTCGGAAGGAGGTGCGGGACAAAGTCGGAGCCAATTTGAATGAAATCGCGGGGCTTGAACATGGGCGCCTGTCATGGGCCCACTGAATTTGACTCCTACTGGCGGCTTCAGGCCTAATAGACACCACCAGTAAGGTAAGCGGTGCGCCTGGCACACTCCCCTCCCGAACTTGCATATGATTATTGCTTGCGACGCGTTCGGGTGGGAGCCTGTCAAGGTAATCGTCTACAATATCGGCGGGACGTTCGGCGAAGGGTGAGTATGCTCGCATCCTCTAGTCTGGCATGCCAAGAGGTCTTCAGGATCACATTCAAAATATAATCAACAACTAATGGATTGTATTGACCAGAAATTGCTCTCTCGTGATTCTCCCGTTGATATTAGTCCTAACTTCCAGGGAGGCCGAGCACAAAGGCGAGTACGAGTGCGGCGCAGCGGAGGAGCGACGGGAAGGAGAGAGAGAGAGATGGGGAGAGCTGTAACTAGCTAGAGGGCGAATATAATGAACTACACAAACATACTAGGCGCAAATTCAGCAAGTGCAAAAGACTGAGCGGGAATGGGTGAATTGCGAGACGAGCGGCGAGGTCTGAGGCGCGCCTGTAGTGCATCAGGACGAGCAAGGGGTCCAGACGAGAGCAAGCGACCGCTGGGGAGCGAAGAACTTATTGCTCTGAGCGTGCTACAGGGTTTATATACTATTTAAGTCCGGTGTATATGTAAAAAAATCTGTAGTTGGAATCAGCGCGGAGGGAGTGGGGTGTCGGGGGCAATGGCGACTGCGAGAGGGAAGACTTGCAGAGCGCGCCGCGCGACGCGTCGACTGGCGTGCACGTGACCGCGCCCGTCCCCGTCGGTGGCGCCTCGCGAAGTTTCGGTGCGCCGACGCATGCCGACGTCGCTGCTATGGACTACAGACTACGGAAGAGTTAATACAAGGTGTTCATGACGGCGAGAGTGTCGTATAGTATGAATGGCCGGAGGGGGGACTGTCGGGATGCTGACAGCGAGTGCTTACTCAGGTCGTGCCGGACGGTTTCTGTGCTCAGGGCCGCGAGCTCCCCAACACCGTTTTGGTAGTTGACACTGCCCTCCTCCGAGCGAGAAGACTCACGGTATGTCACCGTTTTGCTCCTCGGATGAACCAACGCAGGGTATTCCATGATGGTCGTGAATGCATTCATTCAGACTGTCTATACAACACAACACAGTCAACCAGTCGACCGTAATCGATCGTCGTGCAAATCAAACACAAGGAAATCCGAAAAACCCAGGTCAATAAGAGAACGGGCCTGCCGAGAAGCGAGAACAGGAGGCAGACTGGAGCACTTCGAGCGAAGGCGTCGTGGACGTGGTACAGCGTCCCTCGCGCGCGCTGGGGCGGCTGCCGCTCACAAAGCCTTCGAGGACGTCGCCAAGGTGGACGGGGTGGACGTCACGCTGGGGGTATCCGCCGCCGGCGAGGTCGCTGCGGTTACGCTCGAGGCGTACCCGGTCGCTATGTCGGGAACGCCCTTGGCTCTCCGGCCACCATGAGGCCAGCTCCATGTCCTCGGGTTGAGGCCGGGCGTTGATGAGCTGATATCCGTGCTACCCGGACTCGCCGAGGGGGTCGCGCTCGATACGGGCTCGCTCACGATGATCGGGCTGGCGCCTCCGAGCGTCGACGAGGACGAGAAAGCGGTACCGACGGAAGCTGATGAGTATGAAGAGAGATATAAGTGGTGGCTAGGATGGATAGTGGGCGGAGGCTTACTACTGCTGGCTGACACGGAACTCTCCACGGATTTGTCACGAACGTGCAATGATACCTTGGCTCGGGACACGACCGTGTGCGTTGCAGAACTTGTAGTGGTCTGCCACGGGATGAAGCGGTGTCCCCCTGCCACGCTGTCAGAGGCCACCGATGTAGATGATGGTTCGGAGACGTTCTCGACGGGTACGGCCAGAGCTGGTGAGAAGTATAGTCAGACAGGATTGTCGGGAATGCCACATTTCGGGTATATGGTTGACTGACCTCCACTCGCCGCGAGGGCAGCAAGGATGAAGTTGAGCAAGTGCATCATCGTTACGAATAGCGAGAGGAGTGTGATGAGGTGGATAGAGACAGCGCGTTCTGAGGATGGGGCTCTCTGGAACAGCTACACGGACGACAGCAGTGGACATGGCGGTACGACTTGGCTCTATTTATACAGTGAGGCGTCTTATAATAAAAACGAGGATAAATGGCTGTAGGACCTGTCGTTTCAACCAGAGCTACCTTCACATGAACCCGTTGGGCGGCGTTATGTCACTGTCGTGAGTACGGCAGGTTCGCGAAGTGCTTCGTGATTGCCGGCCTATGGCCGGGTCTACGTGACAACCAGCCTTACATGTGTATGCAGTAACCCGCCGCGGCAGTTCTGCCACAGTCTGATCTCGTTGATTGCTATACCTGAATATTGAAGGAGCTGTGGTAAAGTGCAGGACTATACTAGTCATGTCGGAGTACAGTGCGGGTTGTCTACAACCGACTGCTCATGGACCCTTGTGAAACCTGGACCATCGTGTTTTACTTTTGCATTCAGCAACGGTTGTCCAGATCCCGTATCAACCATTGAGACTGATCGGGTTAGCATAACTTACCTACCACCTTTCGCTAGTTTGCCGAACGGGAGGGAGGGGGATGCACCCCGCCGGGTGTCGGCCAGTCAGAGAGCCACTGGTTGACTGGGTTCCATGGGCGCTCGAGCACATGGTGACCCTCGCTGACACTCGGAAAACGCCGACCGCCACGTCTTCTCCCGAATTCGGCATGCTGCAACCTGACCGTACGGCACTCCGACTGCGAGAAGCCCGAGACTGACCGTGACGGCCGTCAAGTCCACTGACGGGGTATCGAAATCCAAACCTTTGTTCCAGTACCGGCCGGGTCGGTGGTCACGAGCGTGCATTGTGATATTACTCACCCATGCTTCTTCTCAGACACGTCCGATGTGGAACTTCAAGTACATGCATCCCTATTGATTCCAGATGCGGTGTCGCCCTAGGAAGCTCGATTTACTCAGCACATATATGACTCCAAGCCCATGTTCTGCTAACTAAAAAGGGCCGACCTCGGTGATTTTAGGGAACCCGAACCTGAAGCACCCGGTGTTCTTGAGCCGAGTGACTCGTTCGACGACACGACGGTTACGAAACAAGCCCCCCTCATCCCATGTACGTTCCCGGACCTCCGATGGAATGCACCCTCTCCCGCTCGATCTCTGCCATCATATTCTAGACACGCTACGGCGGCCGATCGGCGTCTACTACTGTTATTACCTGGTATCTCACCGACATGTTCGCGCGCGTCCTCATGGGTCACCGATGGCTCCCTAGGATTCCCTTCGACGTGAGGAGGCGCAGGCCAGGTACTTCCTGGATCTCATCCACGATGATCCTGACATCGACAGGCTCATCGTGGAGCTCGAGGTCTATCCCAATAACCTGGTTTGTGCTGTGTCACGTCATCCCCCGCGTCTCTGCGTCCTGTGGATGAAACGTGTGAACTGAGTCCGCCATCCTTTTCCGTACAACGCGGTCGTCGCGCGATTCAAGTTCTTCATAGCCCTGCAGTTCTGCTTCGTCAGGTTCCGCTCCGCGAGATTTTCTTCCATCTGACGTGGTCCCTCTCCGACTTGCGCACCTTGATCACTCGCGAGCAAGCTTCTTTACGGAGCGCTGTCCGAGAAGGAGTGCTCACGCCTGGCCGTTTTGACGACATCGTGGGGCTATCGGGCTTCCCAATCTGTCTAACATCCACCTGACGCCGCCTCCCATCTAGGCTCCGCGCTCCCTCCCGTCGTCTCGCTCGTCGCCGAGACAGTGACGCGCAGGGTGACGACCTGGGTGACCTCGCTCGTCCCGACACTCACGACGGAGCCGCACACCACGGCGCCCACCGAGCCAGCGAAAGCCACCGTGACCGGGGCGGTGACGCGCACGGTCTACGGCCACCCGAGCCCCGTGACGGAGCCGATCACAACGGCGAGCACTGTGCTCGACAGTCGTCCCGCGGACTCGTACGACGACGAGCTCCCGTGCGCGCTGTCCCCCCTACTTCGAGGACCGTGGCTCCCGGACGCGCTCCGGTAGCTCTGGGACGTCGGACGACGACTCTGAGCTCCGCGCCCCCTGCTCCGGGGCGCGCGTCGCGCGGTCTGGCCACTACTACTACTACTGCACGACGTTCCAGAGTCACGACGGTGGTGCGGCTGCACACGCTCATGCCACCAAGTTCTTCCGCTGCTCACGGATATACGGAGGGGGCGTGCACTTCCACCAAGCTCAGCGCTTCGTGCCAGCATCGGGAGAGCAGCGAGAGTGGGGATAACCGGCCTGTGCTCAGATACGACGTGGTGAATTAGCCTCAGCTTGAGATGAGCGTCCACCATGTACCACGGTGTGTTCAACTGAGCTGCTGAGCTTGTGCGCGATTTTTCCTGTTTTTGCCTTGTGTTTGATGGGAATCCACATCTTCGCTTTCGACACTCGCTGATCAGCCGTGCACGCAAACACGATGGTATTTTGTGTATATCTCTTCGGGCCATCACAATTGTGCCTTCCCTGATATAGCTTCAGGCTAAAAACCACTATTGACTGCCCCATGGCTGAGTTGGTTACAGCGTCCGACTGTTATCTATTGCTCGCAATGTTGTTCATCGGAAGGTCGTGAGTTCGAGCCTCACTGGGGCAGCGAGCTCCTTTTTGCACCTCACAATTTTCGCTACCGTAGAAGACGACTGATCCCCATTTCCGAAGTTGTTGATCTGCCACACCGTCATTCCGCGAAACGCTGATATGCAAACGTCCACAAAGTTTGATAACTGATGCTAGAAGATAGATGTACACGTGGCCCGAACACTCCCATTCGACGAACACCGCCCTCATACCGCGCCCGCCTTGCCCACGGACACGCCGAGGTCGCGCAGGCGGCCCGTCTCGAGGTCGTACACCCAGCCGTGGACCTGCACGTCCTTGCCCTGCGCCCACGCGGCGCGGACGACGTCCGTCGCGGCGATGTTGGCCACCTGCGCGCGCACGTTCGCCTCGACGAGCGCGGTGAGGTCCTCGTGCTCGCGCGCGAGCGCGGTCAGCGGGCCGAGCCAGCGGCCGAGCGCGTCCTCGGCGCCGTGCTCGTGCCCGTGCCCGTCGGCAGAGTGGGCGGCGGCGTGGCAGGCCTGGGCGCCGCCGCAGCTGGTGTGGCCGACGAGGAGGACGTGGGTGACGCCGACGTGGGCGACGGCGTAGGTGAGCACGGAGAGCGCGCTGTCGTCGTCCGGGTGGAATTGGCTGGGCGAGGCGGACGAGGGCCGTAGATACGATGTGGACGTCATGGGGGTGCATGGGGAGAGCAGGAGGGATGGGCGGGGCGAGAGTGGGTGGGTGTGGCGATTCGGGGGGAGGGCGGAGCGGAGGAGGAGCGCGGGAGAAGAGGCAGGCGACACGGTCAGCGGACGGAAGGGCAGGTGTGCGGGGCAACGGTGGTACGGTCACTCACTTTGCGATGTTGCGGTGGACGAAGATGTCGCCCGGCTTCGAGGCGGTCACCACCGACTCGGGCACGCGCGAGTCTGAACAGCCGATCCAGAGCACCTGCGCGATGGATGGGATCGTCGCTGTCAGCGACAAGCCACTGGAGCGACAAGCCACAGGCTACGGGCCACTAGAGAGAGGACGTGCGCTCTATGTCCCCGCCAATCTCTATCCCCCCGTTCCCTCGCACGATCTGCCACGTCCGGGAACGGGGCCACGCTCGAGGGAGACGGGCACTCTCGCGGCGGGCGGCGTCCCAGCGGCAGCAATCTCAGCCACGAGGATCTTAGCCACTCCGACTGGCTCGTCGTCTACGGCTGCGGGCTGCCCTGTCGCTTGGGCGCGGACCGCTGCCGCTCAATGGCCGGGTCGAGCGCAACACCGAACGGCGATGGGGAGAAAGAAGGGCGGGCAGGAAGCGAGAGGAAAACCGACCTTGGGAGCTTGGCCCTTGGCGGTTTCGGCGAAGAAGCCGGGCTCGGCCTTGTCGACGTCCGACGCCCACTGGGCGTTGTTGGAGAGAAGGCGAGCGAGGATGTAGTCCTGAGGCATCTTGGAGGATTGGGTAGGTGTGGCTCAACGAACGGGGGCGAGAGCGGTCGGGCGGCGGAGTGGTTTATATGGCGTAGCGCGAGAGCGAGGCACTCAGGAGGCGAGGACGCGAGAGATAGAGCAAGGGCGGGTCGTCAAGGAGGACGAGAGAAGAAATCAGAGGGCGAGAGCGGAAAGAGAGGCGGCGGGGCGGATGGTGGCGGAAGCTAAACAAGTGCAGGAGGGAGGGAGGGTGATGTGCAGATAATTGGGGCAGCCACAGGGACGTGATGGATAAACGAGGGCGGACGCGTCCGGATTTCCGCGCGCGGCGTCGTCAGGGCACTCACTACGCACCGCACTACGCACCGTCCACCGTCCGAGTCCGAGTCCCGAGTCCGAAACCTCCCACCCTCGGCGCGTCTCGCACAGAAATAGACGTAGGGCCGGCAGAGCGCACTGACGCGTGGAGAGGGCGAATGAGGGACGTCCTCGCGTTAAGCGACGATGGCCGCGCACGGCGAGACACGAGCGAGGCCTTCCGGCCACCCACCTAAGCAGCACGCGCAGCCTCGGAATGCATTCGTTCATACACCCAGGTCGCAAGCGATTCCTGCCCAAATCCGAGCGCACCTGGTGAAGGCGTATATCAAGTCAGGTATGCTATTGCAGCATCCCTGTGCGACATCGCGCGCGGGGGCGGAGAGAGCGTCGGCCCAAAAGGGAGAGCGGATGGTTTGAAATACGGCAAGGCCTGATTTGGAGAAGCAGCGTGGCGGATGCCGGGGCGGCAGAAAGCGGGAGCCAGTGAGAGCACGAGCCGAGCGAGCGGGAGCGTCCTTGGCCGTGGCGGCGGGGAAACAGCGCGGGAGAGCAAGGAGGCGAGAGAGCGCGCGAGCCGCAGACCGCAGAACGAGACGTGCACGTCCAGCGGAAGTCAGTCAGGGAGGATCGACGGCGGCGGGGGCAGCACCGAGGGCTATATAGTCACGAAAACTGCGAGCAGACCAGGCCAGACGCTGCAGAGAGACGCGTCGCCGTCGGCATCCCGCATAATACAAATTGATCGACGGGCGATACGTGCGCACCTCTCCCCCGCCGCCCAATGAACTCCTCCCCCTGCGCCTTCCAGGACTGCGCGAGAGCAGCGTAAGCCCCGCAGGACGTGGCAGACACCCGACTGTCCCCTGGGAGGGTGCGCATCGGACAGCGGTGAGAGGAGGGCAGGCAGGGCAGGCGAGAGGCGATGCACAGGGGCTCCCAAGCAATCATCAAAGACAAGGTGCCCGAAGAATACTCAGCGCGGACGTCCGACCGTCCCCGGGTTATATGGCTCACAGAGGACAGCCACGAAACACGGGCAGGTCTAGGGCCCGTGCATGATGGCGATCCACAACCTTGAAGGTTCTTGTTTGTCGTGGCACGGTCGTGGTCAGCGGGTAGCCAGGGCCAAGATCCGTCGCCCGTCCTGGCCTCGTCCCATTCGCCCCGCCCCGCCTCGCGCTCTGGCGGCTGCGCCACGGTGAGCTCGGACCATATCCTGACGATCATCGTGTACAGCTATGCACGCCCCGGGTATGCAAGCCTTCTCAGAATCCATGCGTTATGCGGTATCGCGAGCCGCACCGCAGCATTCGAGCGATAACAGGTGCCCTCGTCATTTCAGCCGCGAATCACGACGAGCCGTCGTTTGTCAAGCCGCACCCGTCAAGAGCGTACCTTGGGCCTCACAAGTACGTATCTTGTCAATCTGACATGAACGCAAGACGTGGATGGAGTCTGTATTGAATCTAGCAAAAAGGACGTGTTGTCTAGTGGTCCATTCCTTCCTGAACAGATTGACTTGAGGATGGCACAAACAAATGCCTACGGCAGCACACACTGTGAGATCAACACAGCGCGTTTGGTTCCTATGTGTGGGCCGCGTCGAGCGATGCGCGGGCAAGCAGCATCCAGTGCGGTCGTCAAACGGCGGGAGTGAGCCCGATGAACTCGCGCAACGCCTCCCGCTTCGCGCCCGTGTCGCCCTTGACGGGCAGGCCGTACCCCTGCAACAGTGCCTCGTAGCGTTCCTCTGTATCCCCCCTGCTGTCAGCGCACTGGAAAAGGCGAGCGCTCGAGGAGGACGCGGCGTACTGGTGAGGTGCTCAAACTCGCCCTTCGTGCCCGGGAAGTTCTGCGGCGTCTTGCCGCCCGCCATGACGGGCGCCTTGATCGGCTGCTTGTTCGCGGTGACCGCCGCGTTGTGCAGCCGCGCGTACAGGCGCGCCTGGCTGGTTCGTTCACCGCCCCGTCAGCGCCGGGGAACGACAGGAGGTGCGAGGCCTGAGGCCTAAGGGGAAGGACGCACTCGAGCCTGATCGTCTCCGCGAGCCCGTCCACCTTCTTCTGCAGCTCCTCCAGCGCGACCTCGGTCGGACTCCTCACCCGCTCGGGCTCGCCGCCCTCGCCCTCGCCCACCGCGGGCACCTCCTCCACGACGTCCGCCCTCTGCGCCTGTGGGCCATCGACCGCAAGCCTCGCGAGCCGCTCCTGCACCCCGCGCAGCTCCGCGCGCATCGCGTCCTGCGCGCGCCAGAGCGCCTCCAGCGCAGCGACATCCACGCCGCCCAGCGCCCCCGCCCCCCCGGCGCGCGCAGGGGCGGGAGGAGGGGGCGCGGAGGCGAGCTCGCGCGCGGCGAGCGCGAGCTGGTCCGCGATCGCGCCGAACGAGGCGGAGAGCCGCGCGGACCAGAGCGCGGACGCGCCCGCGGGGGACTCGCCCACCGCGCTCGCGCCGCCGCCTGGGCCCGCCCCGGGGGAGGGCTTGCGCAGGGCGAGGGGCGTTGGCAGTCCGCTCGGGGCGGGCGCGTTCGGGTCGAGGGACGCGGAGAAGGGCGAGGCGGGCGGCGCGGGCTGTGAGGAGGCCGACGAGGAGGGGGTGGGCGTGAGCGGGGGAGGGGGCGCGGTGCCTGTGCTGTGGCTGACGAGCGTCGAGCTGGAGGAGTCCGGGTCCGGCGCCGTTGTGCTGGAGGACATCTTGCCGTAGTGGTCGACGAGCGGGCGCGGCGTACGTGTGCGCTCAGGTGATATACATGTCGCTCAGTGTGGTTTGCGTCGAGATATACCGCCGCGCGCGGCTCCGGGCGGAGATACACGTCGCTCTTTCCCTCTGTTCCAAACTGTGCCGTTCCGGCGTCCTGGGATATCTGCGCTTCCCATCGGCGGCCCGGAAGCGTGGGTGCGACGTGAGAGTTTGTGCGCGGTGCCGCAAGGGCGGGCGAGAAACGTCCGGTTGGTGGGAGTCGTACCGTGGATGCACCGGCCCCCGATGGGAGTGGCAGATGTGGACCAGTGGCTCACGCCTCTTGTGGGCAAACGCGTAGTGGGTACCAGTGAGCTTGCGTTTTGACTGGTGGTGTACAGAGTGAGCAGCTGATGCATGGCGGATTTCCAGTACAGAAACCGAAGACGATGTGTCGCCGCAGGTAGGATGGAGAATACGAGCTCATGGTAAACGTCATGTTGTGTTGTCTCCCGCGGATACACGTCTAGTGATTCTCGAGCCAGCATGGGGATGAGACACCCGTGGCTGTTGCTATGCGGCACCCATGGGATGACTCATGTACAACTCTGGTGGGAGATGAGAAA